GCTTATGATTAGTTGATTACAATGACTGGAAAAAAAATTGGGGTGCCTGTGCTCGTTGGTGAGCTAGAGCCATTTTTCAACTGAAAGAGCTTAATATCAAGGCAAATCCGTCATGTTTTCAATATGCGCGTGCACGAGCGCGCGCTAATGACGAGATAAAGTATGCGCAATAAGGATGCGCAATGCAAATGTGAGGAATGACCTTAAAGGGGTTAGAAAAGCGCATTTGGTCCCCCTTAGGGTGTTCAGCCCCAAACGATCCTCCTAAAATCAGTGTCAATGTGTTGTTTTAGAATTGATATCTCTTAGGGGTAAAAAAACTTCAAGCCACGTCCACATAACAGGGTCTTGGTCGGGGGATCTTTTCAAATTTCCGACGAGCACACATTTCCGACGAGCACCCCCATCCTTTTTATATGGGATCAATCCCCGGGCGTACCCATCATTAGTTACCAGATCATCCGCTTTCGTAAGGAACGAACAGTCTGGGTACGTGGCACAAGACANACATTAAACAGACAACACTGACAATCAGTCATACTCTTTCTACTGCATTCACCCCCTTCGTCCCTAGAATCGCAATTTCGCAAGAAGCAATCCCATCTGCAACGCCCGGCCCCCCCCCCCCCCCCCCGCCCGGCAAACGGGCGTAAAGCAGGCAGGATGAAAGTTGGCGCGCGGTTTTTCCCATCATTTTGAAAATACTTACTTTATCGTCGTATGCATGACGCGTTTGATGATGGTCCTTCTGTACAGTGTTACGTAAGTTGTGGAATAGTTTGATCACTGAAGTTCTCGATTACTCTTCATTCAATAATTAATTGTCAAAGAAGTTAAAGTTGTAGCACTCCCGCATTCAACTCCACGAGATTTAATAATAACACTGAACACGGAAATGACTCCCAATAAGTTGTATTTTATTATTTCTAGTAGTATCTCCACGGTCGTGGTCAACACACAAGAAAACTTCTGCGTCTGGACAATAACTCTCTCAAACTCCAAGGCAAATTGTATCAAACATTCCAAGCTGACGGTTATTGCAGATTAAGAGACTTCTTGAGAAGTTTAAATTACAAAAAATGCGGAAGAGCTAGACGGCCATTGGCCTTGTTTCACGTGGTACTGACAAACACCATTTGGTTCTCGTTAAATCAGGGTTTTAAAACTCTTTGCATAAATGGCACTTGTTATGGAGACGAATC